CAGTGTGCGAATTAACGGTGTGCAATGTGCAATTTGCACATCGTTTTAGCTAAAATGAAAACAATTGCACATCACTTTTTCAAACGATGTGCAAAAATCAGCGGTTTTAACGAAAAACATTGTCGTAAATCATATGAATTTGTTCACATTTGAAAATATTAATTTAGCAATTAGCGCTATATAATAATTAACGTAATGTCGAATTGATTATGCCTCTAAAGAAACACTTTTGTCAAAAAAATTGCACATCGTTTTTTCTGAACTAATTCGCACACTGTGTAAATAGCATAATCACCTTCATTCTATGTACTGAAGATGGCATAAGCATGCCGAAACATGTTTACGATAAAAAAACTCGTCGTTAATTTAAAATGTCTGAAATCACAAAATCATGTAAATACCCCACCTGTAGAAACACTAGTTTCCCAACAAGCCCCCTCCCTGTGACCTCCCTAGTCCCCTGGTCGCCTAGTCTCCCTAGTCCCCATGACCGTTCTGTGTTTGAGTAGCAGACTATTTTCCATACCTGATAAATTTGAGAATTTCATCAATGTCAAATTTATGAAAAATTTCATCCAAGATCTTTAATTTATCAACATTGGAAAATTTAAGACCTTTAATTTCCTTCACAAATCTATCAAAAAAAAATATAGTTATGTACAATCAATGTATTATATACTGTACACTGTGATAAAATAATAATATAAGGAGATGGTGAGGTCATTTCAAACAATATGAAGTCTTGAATATATTTTATAAAAGTTGTAACAGAAAGTGGGTTAACTTCAAAACTATTTCTGATTGGTGAAAAAGATTCAAAAAGTCAAACTCACATTTGAAGTGAATCCAAAAACCAAGTTCCTTCCTTTGAGAGAGGAAGTTTTAGCTTATGAAACGCAGCAACATGCTCAGCTATTTGTTGTGATAAACGAGGATACTGGATTTCCCGACTAGTCAATGCTCGAACCTTTAATAAATTACAACACAAGTAAATTAAACTTTGGTAAACAATGCAAAAATTAATGTTGCAAAAATTTTAACTATTTAATTCAAAAATTATAAATTCTTTCCAACACAAATGAGAAGGAATTTACAATTTTTCTATACAGACTGTATAATGAGTATGAGATAATCTGATTATATCACTATCAGTGGAATACAAACTCAACTGTGCTAGAATAGATTTAGTTTGATATTAAAGCTGGAAAGCTAGGGCACGTTCTTTCCATACAAGCAGGTGGTATACTCACTATAAAAAGATAAACTTTCCTTACATTAATCGCTGATTTTTTTTGCTACTTACATTAGGAATAAACTGTTCAAGTCTTCCTTCAGGAAATATACCATACAACTCTGGGGCCATCTTTTGTTCAGCTAAAAGGCCACAAATGATGCATTCCTCCATCATGCGAACATTGTTGTCAGGCAAATCTGCATAGAATGCACCATATAGCCGAAGCAGTGCTTTGTTCACACCATCAGGATTTGAATTTGCATACTCAGGTGGCAGAGAGCACAGAAACAAATGGTTCGTTAATCCACCACTGTAATTGTTAAAAACATATTGGTTAAAATGATTACTCAAACTATGATTTTATCTCTTGTGAGTGGTAAGTTTATCAACAAAAGAACAACGATAGACATGCATAGAGGCAAGATCAGAGCATTGGTTAAATAAATATACAAAATAAGCCCATTCTTAGATTAATCATATCTGACAAGATCTTTTCTACCGGAAATTAATTTATAAATCAAAGGCACTATTATGAAGGTATACTTTGCATATAAAACAAGGATGCTTATTTTACTTCATGTATGTATTTTGCCTCCACCCCTGAACAGAACTAAAACAACTTTGAACAAGAAAATATCAGACATAAAAAATATGAGACATGGAAATGGGAAATTACAAAAAAATTAACTGCACTTGAGAAATTTTATCACTTTCATGGACAGACACCAGAGAATTCTGCAATTGCAGAATTCTGTGTTTATTTGGCTGGCATAATTGCTGGAGAAATTTCTAAGCTATACATGTTGTTCAGGCGCTAGTTTATCATTACCTATTTACAAAGCAAGAATTGAATTTCACAGCCACATTGATATTCGTGTGGTGCAACTGAATGATTCGCACGAGAGAATGATTTTTACTTAATGGTTTTTCCTTGTATTTTAATGTAAGCTTGTCGGTTCAAAATTAATTATCATACTTTTTATAACAAACATGACTTCAGTTAAATACCAACCGTTACTATCTGTGTTGTTTTCAAAAATCAAAAAATCACTCTTCGCAACTACAATCACTCAAATCATTCCTACATTTTGCATGTGTCAAAATCACGCTTAGAAATTTCTCCGTTTATACTTACGTATTGACTCACCAGAATATGCACCAAGACTCAACTGATATTTATGTGTTTCATTCTTTACAGCAAAATAATCATATTCAGCATATGTTTTGTTTCCTAACCAGTCTCCCAGGTCAACACGAAGTTTATTTCTCTTGGCTGATGTTAGTCGGTATATTTTATCCAATCCAAGCCAGAATTCAGAAGTAACATTACCAAATCCTTGTGTATAGTTTTTCCAATTTCGATAAAAGTCTACACTTCCATCTTGACGTCTTTGAAACACAGTCCAACCTCCACCAGATGTCTCCATATCACAGAAAACATTGAAATAACCTTAGCCATCTGGATCAATTTGATACACTCCGTTCTTTTTTTCACCTTTTCTGTAAAGATCTGCACAGTCTTTTCCCTAAAATAAAGTTTTATTAAAAAAGCTATTGCATTGTACGTCTTACGGGTTTTGTAACTCATTAAACCTATAAGCAAATTGTTACACAGCTTTCCTGCGCATAGATCCATTGTGCTAAATAACTATTTTGTACATTCTATACCGAAGTTGTTTTCGAATATATCAACTCAACATGTGAAATTCAATAGAAAAAAAATCAACAATACAAAATAGCAAGTTTTCAGATATGACTAACTTTCATAATAACATTTCAAAATTCCTTATATGGTCATGCACGTGTAGTTGTTTACGTACTCTATCCTTGGAGTTCATCTCAATGCTGACTCAGCATTTTAAGGTCTTGTTTTATACCACAAGAACATCTGCCAACTCACCCGATTTTATTGGAGTCGCCTTAATCTTAAAGCAAATCTTCTAAACGCCAGATTTTCGATCACTTTCACCCTTCTTTAATGACATGTAGATAGTGAAAAAACTTTGAACGAAACAGGTCGGACTGAGTATTTAATAGCCATAAATATTTGTGTATTTTATATGTTATGCACCCAAATTTTCCACGCACTTTCTTTTTTTGAACAAGAAATCCACTTGGGTGTTCTCAGTTTGCATTTTCTTACAAAGTTCCCTTTAGGAGTTCTTCTGTTTATAACTGCGTTTGTTATCACAATTTGAAATTAGCTACCGCATTGCTTTCTTTGTTAAAACAAGGAGGTCACAAAAAAACCAGTTAAAAGCACTGATGAAGAGATATTTTTTAAAAAAATCGTTATTTCTAGGTATTTAATTGCCATCTAATTTATGAATGAAAAAAAATGCATTAAATTGGTTGATGTTTTGCTTGCTTACAATTTTTTAAAGAGATGTAAAGTTCCATTGCAAGAATTAACACTTGTACGAAGTGCATGATAAAGCAAGCCTATGATTATTGATCTCCCTAAATATATCGACGTATGAAAGAGGAAATGATTTGAGAAACATATTCAAAGTAATAAAAGAGGCTAACCTAAAAGCTAAAAGCTAAAGAGAGAATGTGGCAAAAGTGTCTAACTGTCTAAGTGGCAAATGACTTTTATTTCATGATCTTCTTATTGTTCATTCCTATGTAGCTATTAGCTGTTTTTTAGTTGACAATTTACAAGTACTTTTTCAAAACTATGCTCAGTAAATATCCCGAAAATTAATATTTATTAATATTTATTAATATCCCGAAGATTAATATTTATTGTTTGGTGGTCAACCATTGATGATTTAAGCAATTCATAAATAATGTACAAGCATTAATATAATTCAAATTAAACACAAACGCTGTTAACCTGTCAGCTATATGCGGGTCTCTTCGCTTTGTTTCAGATTAAAAAAATACATATATGAAAAATACTAACTTTGCTTGTTCAGTTTTGGCTAATATATTTTGCTAGAGGGGTATAAAATAGAAATGAGAAAGTTTTATTGCAATTAAACAACTACAAATGTAGCATGCAGGTACGCGTTTTAAAACATTTATTTTATCTTTTACTCTATAACTTACCGTTGTCTTTTATCTTCATAAAAACACTTTGTGAGCTTTGACAAGCATTGCAGATAGCAACTAAAAGAAAAACTACAGAAACGCGCATCAACATCTTGCGTAAAAGAAAGAAAACACTTTATGTTTGAAAAAAGTTTTTGAGAACATTTATATAGCCACCGTCATAAAGAATAATGTATATTTTGTACATGCAGCTGTGTTTGATTTACCTAAATTGCATAAAAAAGCACTTTCCGATATTTTGGGAATGTTTTAAGGCTATAAAACGATTTATATTCAATTCCTAAAGGCTTAAGCTTGTAGAAATATTTTTGCTGGTTGACAATTGATAAATTGGATAAATTGGTGTATTAGTGAACATTATCTTAAAACATTGTTCACACTAATTATATCCTATGTGATAGACAACGCATTAAGTTAAAACTACTAAGTTATTAATCATTAAGTACTCAAATATGTCTTCGTTTCACATATCGTGGTTAATAATTGATTGCTAAAACCACCAGGTCTGTATTAATTAAAAACGTAAAAACTTTGCAAAATCATTTAAAATAAAGTAACTGCTAAAGACGTCCTGATTTGTTTTGTGAGCTAAAATCAATTTTCGCTAAAGTCCTGCCATAATGGGTTTTTAATTACGATATCTACAGCCATAATGTATTTGCAATAATGCCCGAAAAGTATTTTTATTGTCAAGTGAATGCAAGTTAAAGCTTTTGGGGTACAAGAAAGTGCTATTTTTATTATAAATGTTATTTTAATACACAAGTTTAATGATAAGTTCTTTTAAAAAAACCCGTCAATTTCAAAGTAAGACGTAGGTGAAAGTGCACAGAACAAACGACAGCTGAAGCAATATATCACTAAAAAAGGCAAGTGCATTTTCAAAGAAAATAAATTACTTTTTCTTATAGTTTCATGACCTTGTATGATCAATTATCAAGATCCAAAATAATAGATGTGTGATTGCTTTATCATTCTACCATCGCTCAAATATTTTTGTTGTTGCAAACATATCGGTTTGAGCTTGTTTACATATAGGTCTATGCTAAAAACTTGGGGATGTTATTTTTTTGGAAAAGGTATAATAAGAGTGTTTTTCAAAAATATAAGCATAATATTTTAAACAAGTTTTGAACTATACAGCAGAGATAATGAAATAACAATAAAGGAGCCCCCATAGACTGAAGTCAAGAATAGCAAACTTCAGAAGCATATACTTCCTTCCTCAATTATTAAGAAGTGTAATTCTTTATTCCTTTGCCATAAACAGTGCTTTTAAGCAGCCTTCAATTGATCAATAATTTGAATAAAATAATTAAGAAAGCTCAAGATCTGTAGTTCAATATGACCACAGACTATTGTTTCGAATTGATTTCATTTCCGACAACTTAATGATCATTATATATTATGGTGATGATACTAATTTCATGGAAGTTTTGCATTGTCGAAACAGAAATTCTCGAAATTCTTTTAAATCTATTTCATGGTCTTCAAACTGAACAAAAACTAAATATAGTAATATAGTTTAAATAAGCTAAATATACTGCTCATAAGGTCAAGTGGATTTGTTTTAGCTTTGACATAAATAAAAAGAAAGAGAAGCTGAAGAGAGGAAATAGAATCTACACCAAACGAGGATAAAACCCAGATTCAAAAAAAGGATTCCAAAACTTGAAAAATCTTGGAAATTGCGCAAGGAAAGAGTAGATATCACTTAAGTGACTGAATCAATGGCGTATAGCATTTATACAAAATTTATCTAGATCCTACTTAAATAAACACCTGCCGAAAGAGGTTTTAATAAGAAAAATAACAATTTAGTCTTTCGGTTTTACGTACAAACAAAATTTAAACAAAAGTGAACATTTCAAAGAGTAACTTTGATCGATTACACCTACGATTTATATATTTCGTACATATAGCTGTGTTTGATTTACCTAAATTCCATAAAAAAGCACTTTCCGATATTTTGGGAAAGTTTTAAGGCGATAAAAGCGATTTATATTCAATTCCTAAAGGAGTAAGCTTGTAGAAATATTTTTGCTGGTTGACAATTGATAAAATGGTGTATTAGTGAACTTTATCTTAAAACATTGTTAACACTAATTATATCCTATGTGATAGACAACGCATTAAGTTAAAACTACTAAGTTATTAATCATTAAGCACTCAAATGTCTTCGTTTCACATATCGTGGTTAATAATTGATTGCTAAAACCACCAGGTCTGTATTAATTCAAAAATTAAAAACTTTGCAAAATCATTTATAAATAAAATGACTGTTAAAGACGTCCTGTTTTGTTTTGTGAGCTAAAATCAATTTTTGCTAAAGTCCTGCCATAATGAGTTCTTTAATTACGATATCTAGCTATAATGTTTGCGTTTTTGCCCAAAAAGTATTTTTATTGTCAAGCAAATTAAAGCTTTTGGGGGTAAAATAAAGTGCTATTTTTATTATAAATGTTATTCTAATACACAAGTTTAATGATAAGTTCTTTTATAAAAAACGTCAATTTCAATGTAAGACGTAGATGAAAGCGCACAGAACAAACGAAAGGTGAAGCAATATATCACTTCTTGTAATTAATTCATATACGTTATTAGCTATCTTTGTTACCTTTGTTATATTGTAACGCATCGTTCTCTTTTGTCTTCTTGAAGATATTTTGCAAACTTTGACAAGCATTACTTGATGCATTTCGGAAAGCAACTGAAAGAAAAACTACAAAAACGCGCATCAACATCGTGCATGGAAGAATGAAAACATTTTATAATTAAAAAACGTTTTTGACAATGTTTATATTGCTAGCTGCCTTCATGAAAAATAAATTGTATTTTGCAGATGCGCAGCAGCTTTTAAAATTACATAAAAAAGCAGTTTGGAATATTTTAGGCAATTTATAAGGCCATGTTGTGTAATTTAGATTTCATAATGAAGACATAATCCTAATTGAAAACATTGTAAAAATAGCCTTTCGTACATGGAATTTAGGTGTAGTTTCCTTATAGTTTACAATTTATTTACATGGAATTTCCTATTTAATAATTTAAGTCACATTTTGCACGAAAACTTTAATTTCCTACGCACGAAACCATTCGTATAAATAGAAGTAAATTTAGAGCAAAGAGTTGAGTTGTTATTCGATAAGAATGTTAAGTTGTCTGAGATTGTTGTGAATTGGTCGTATACTCATTTCTTAATAAAATTTCCATAACTAAGAATCAGAGTGTAGATCAATTTGTGGGATCAACTCAACAAATTCTGCGACAGGCTATGAATGCCGATTTTTCTTTAATTTCAAGGTGCGTAAGCTTGTAAACATGTTTTCTTGCTTGATGATAATTGATAAATTGGTGAACATTACCTTGAAACATTGTTCACATTAATCGGCTACATCCCATGTGATAGAAAACCCATTAAGGTAAAATTGAGCTATAAATTATTAAAGTACTCGAATACGTTTCCCATATTTTTGTTAATGATCGGTAAAGCCACATGGTCTGTATTAATTAGCTACAAACGTTTCTAGTTTAAAACTTTTGCAAGAAACCTCATTTTTAAATTATTTGACAGTTTTACATGCAGAGTTCTGTTTTGTTTTGTGGTTTAAGATTAATTTTGGCTTGAGCACCATAATGGGCTCTTTAAGCGATATTTAGGTATATGATGTTAGCGTTAATGCGCGAAAAATATTTCTACTTCAAAGCATGGACTGAAATTAAAAGCTTTTACAGAACAATGACATGCTGTTTCGATAATAGATGTCATCATTAAAATAAATAAGCTTAATAAAAAACACACGTCAAACTTCAATGTAAGTAAGACGTAGATGAAAGTGCAAATAACAAACAACAGGTGAAGCGTGAAAGCAATATATCACTAAAAAAGAGAAAGGCATTTTTAAAGAAAAAATTATGTCATTCTTCAAGTTTTATGATCTTAAAATACATAGAACTTATGTTTAATAGAATGCGTTGAGGAATAAAATTTCATTAAAAAGATAACCAGGTTGTGAGTTAAAGTGATAAACAGGTTTTAAAATTTAATATGGGTAGAGATAAAACGCGGATACGGATGGCACGGATACAGATACGAATGAGGGGATAAAACACGGATGAGGGGATAAAACACGGATGAGAGGATAAAACACGGACGTGGGGATAAAACACGGACGTGGGGATAAAACAAGGATAAATAAGGATGGATGGATGTGGGGATAAACAAGGATGGAGGATAAATAAGGATGAGGGGATAAAAGGAAAGGATAGGATGGACAAATGGATGGAAATGGATGGATAAAGGATGGAAGGATAAAACAAGGATGAGGGATAAAACAAGGATGGGATAAAACAAGGATGAGAGGATAAAACACGGACGTGGGGATAAAACACGGACGTCGGGATAAAACAAGGATGAGAGGATAAAACAAGGATGAGGGGATAAAACACGGATGAGAGGATAAAACAAGGACGTGGGGATAAAACAAGGATGAGAGGATAAAACACGGATGTGGGGATAAAACACGGATCGACGGGATAAAACACTGATCTTAGAATTTTATTTCTTTTCAAGTGGCGTTGTTTAGCAAATTAACATGAAAACATTTTGCATCAACATTGTGTGCTTTTGTTTAAATTGTTCCATGTGCCAAATTGTAGGAAAGTAAAACCTAAATATTTTAAAACATCACACAAAAACGTGTGTCTATAAAATGTCGCAAGTTTTAGGTTAAATAATGTCGACAAAACGATCGTATCTGAGCCATCATTGACAGAAACATTGGCAAGACCACGATGAAAAAGTAAGACTTAAAAACGTCGACAAACTTAGAAATGTTAAGGAACTTTAGTATAATGCTCTTGTACGAACCGAGTGAAACCAAATCAAGTCACGTGTTTAGATAAGATTAGTTCACGTTTGAATTTATTAAGGAATGTCACAAAGTAGACGCTAATTCTGAAAAAAGAAGCGATAGCCAGTGACGTTTATGAGCCATTCGCAATGAAGATAAAGTGGGGGATGCAGAAACTTTTATGTTATGTGGAAAAAAGTCATTTAACAATGCATTCCTTTGGACACGACTCAGCTTTAATTCGCTTACCCTTTCTTTAAAAATTGATAGTTTAATGCAAATTACGACAAACACAAGCAGAAAATGCGCTCTACACGATTCGCATTAAATAAAAACAAAGATAAAAGTTGAAATGAATAATTTATTTAATTCACGCCACCAGAATGCAGGCTCCGCCAACTTCTTTAATTTTTTCTTCTGCCTTGCCGCTGAAAAATTTTGCCTTTACAATTACAGGTTGTTTGGGCAGTAGACCTTTTCCAAGTACTTTGAAATAGCCCTAGAAATAAAATAATTATCAACAACAAAATTTTTCTGAATAGTATGTTTATAAAACTTCAAATAAAAAATTTCACAGAAATATAACACAATGAATTTTGAACATAAATTGGTTGAGGAATATCTAAACAAAACAGTTAAATGTGAAACAGTCGTGTAACAATGTTTTTACATTTAAGAAATAAAAGATGTTTACTGTTTTGCACAGGCTTATGCAAACCGAGGAGACCATTGGGAAAACTCGAGAGCAGATCAGTGTAAGGCCGAGACCGAAGGTTGCACATGCTCGAGAGTTCTCACAAACGTCTCCAAGGTTTGCATAAGACAGTGCAAACACGAAAAACATCTTTTATTTCTTTTATAAAATAAAATAATGTGAAAGACAAACATTTTAATTTTTCCTCTAAAATGTATTCGAGATCGATTTGCAAATTCTCTATGAATGATTGATTCTTTTGATTGGTTGAGCTCAGATGTGTTCTGCACAGGCTAATGCAAAAACAGCTCTAGACCAATCAATGCACGCGTTTTATTGTTTTTATTTGACAAAATAAAAAGATAAAACTTTATGCATCATGAATCTACTATACAATCAGCAATTTTAGTGGTGCTCAAGCCTCGATGATTTAAAAATATGAAAATGAATTCAGTAAATTCGGTGCTGTATATAATACAGCATTTAAGTTATTTCATATTGTGTTTACCCATTTCTACAATTTCTTTTAAGACAAATTATTGTGTTGGGATAAGACGCAAAATAGACCAATGAAATAAACGATTTGTTCTTTGCTAATCCTCAAAAACAAAACCGTTAACACTTACAGCTCTGACAACATCAACAACAGGTGCGGGACCATCTTTCTTGTCAATGTAATATTCTCTAGTTTGTTCACTGACCAATGACCAAATTTTGTCCAAGTTGATAGTAGGACAATGATATTTATTCCTTGTCAAATGAAAATATCGCATTCCAACTTCGCCAAAATAACCGGGATGGCTAAAAACATTGAAAAACAAAATTACAAAATTCTGAAGACAAACAAGAAAGATATTATTGAGAAATACAGCTCGCGTACTAAAGTTGCCTATATACGTATCTGGACGAGGGAAATAAGTAGTGTAAATAAATCGATTTCAAGAACACTTGTAATGTATTTTTTAGGTCGAAAATTTTGTCATCATGGGACTTTTTGCATAGATGACCAAAGGCTGGAAATGACGTACAAAGTAGAACACGTGCATTGACGGTGTAGCATTCATTATACAGATTTACAGTTATGAATAAAGCCACTATAACAAATCTTCTTAAAAAACTACAATTTTAATTAAGATTTGTGAAAATTCGACGACATCGATTGAGTCAATAATGAAGGAAAACATTTTAAAAAACACATCTCTTCGGACGCAATTTCCTCCACTGAAATAAGATCTTCCTTTCCCTAACCCTGATATATGCACATTAAAGAGACAGTCGAGAGCTGACAAACTATTCAAAATAAATCATAAGACAAAAATTTGATCTTTCTCGACTTTATGGGCCTCAAAGTTGGCTTTTTCGTGTTTGACAGCGAGGTGCTAAGACTGGGTCTAGTTCACCACACGTGACGAACGCTGGAGTACACGCCGTTTTTAACGCTAATTTATTTGTATTACACTTGTGTTGAGCGAATTTTTTTTGAGCGACTATGTAAATTAATATCGGAAACACTGGACGACATCTGTCTTAGCGAAAAATGAAATGAAAATTTCATAAATGATCAAATCGCGCCTTTGTTATTGAATTAAAACTATAGTTCTATAGCGTTCAAAAGCAGCATGTTCACCAATGTACGTCACGTTCAGTGAACTAGACCCAGTCTCAGCATCTCACGGTCAACTTGGTCATCTCTGACCATGTATGAAACCATACACATTGGTCATCTCTGATGTATGAAACCATACACATTGGTCTTCTCTGACCGTGTCTGAAACCATACACATTGGTCATCTCTGAACATGTCTGAAACCATACACATTGGTCATCTCTGACCATGTCTGAAACCATACACATTGGTCATCTCTGACCATGTCTGAAACCATACACATTGGTCATCTCTGACCATGTCTGAAACCATACACATTGGTCATCTCTGACCATGTCTGAAACCATACACATTGGTCATCTCTGACCATGTCTGAAACCATACACATTGGTCATCTCTGACCGTGTCTGAAACCATACACATGTACGAGAGCAATATTCAAAATTTAGAAACACCCCGAGTCTCAGACTGTACACACTAAGGCTTAAATGTTTTACAAAAAACGTTATAATGATGTAAAAACAATAAAACATAGAATAAATTATTATAAATACACGTTGAGTAAACTTACAGCCTTACTAACTTTATCATGGAACGGTGTGCTATAGGATGGCAAAACAACTCAAGCAGCATCTTTTCACATCTCTATAAAAGCAATCACTTGATGCAATGTATAACAGTTAACGCGCATGGCATTATTAATTGAGCATATTACAAAAAATCGGGAAAACAGTAGAACTAAAAAACAAGTGCCAAGACCAGACATGGTAAGTATACAAAACACATGCCAAAACTAAATGTTTCTAGATTTAGATCGTACAGGTTACTAAAGTACCGAGAAGAACTGCTAGTGTCGATGTTAACTGTCTGCTCTAACCTGGACATACTACTTTCACAAACGAGTAACTTTACTTACACGTTCAAACAATTCACATGCCAAAGCTAAATGTTTGTAGTTGTAGATCGTCCAGGTTAATAAAGTACCGAGAAGAACTGCTAGTGTCAATGTTAACTGCCTGCCGTAACCTGGACAAACTACTTTTACAAACAAGTAACTTTACACACAGGTTCAAACAATTCACATGTCAAAGCCTTAGAATAACTAATAAGGAAAGGTGAAGAAATTTTTTTAAAAAAGAAAAAAAGACAATCGATGAGAAGAGTAAGGAATTCTACATCAAGCACTCACCTTAGCGTCTCTTTCTGAAATACCATCGACTGTCGCATGACGTTTCGCATTTTCTACATGAAGTATTGCATATATTCGGACATTTTAAAGACAATTATTTGCATCTACTGGTTTTATACAGTTATTGGTATTTTAGGACTGAAAATTATTCAATGAATGAAATAGAATATTTAAAAATAACATGGGAGCAGTAAATAGAGATT